CCCCGTGGCACGCTGCGACGTCACCCTCGATCCCCGTGGCACGCTGCGACGTCACCCTCGATCCCCGTGGCACGCTGCGACGTCACCCTCGATCCCCGTGGCACGCTGCGACGTCACCCTCGGGATCACAGCGCCAGGACCTCGTAGTAGTCCCAGTAGGCGATGTTGAACAGGACGAACATGATGGGGAACACCGCCCGGCAGATCTTGTCGATCCTCTTGGCCAGGACGGCCTCCTTCTTCCACCTCGACGGCAGACACGACAGCTTCTCCTCGGTCGGGTCGGTCGAGTAGACGCCTCTCGACTCGCACAGGTCCTCGACGCCCTCTCGCTCAGCCGCGGCCGCCTCCCCCTCGGGCGGACGTCGCTCGCTCGCCCGCCGTGGCCTCGGGGCCTTCCTTGGGGGCCGCGGGCGCCGAGTCGTGGGCGGCCGCCTTGAGGCCGTTGCCGCCGACGTCGGCCCTCCAGTTGCGTCTGCTGGGAGGGAGGAGGGGGGGTGAGGGTGGGGGGAAGGAGGCAGGAGGACAGAGAGAAATGATTAGGAGGAAGAAGAAAGGAAAGGACGAGTAGAACACAGAGGAGAAATAGATTGATAGATAGGTTGGTATATATATATATATATATATATATTATATATATATATATATATATATATATATATATATATATATATATATATATATAGAGAGAGAGAGAGAGAGAGAGAGAGAGAGAGAGAGAGAGAGAGAGAAAAGAGAGAGAGAGAGAAGAGAGAGAGAGAGAGAGAGAGAGAAGAGAGAGAGAGAGAGAGAGAGAGAGAGAGAGAGAGAGAGAGAGAGATCACGTCTCTGATATCATGAACAATCTGTAATATAAAACCGTTAAGAATGCATGCATCCCGCCGCCTACTAGCACCCGCCCCCCGAGCCAACACAGCGCCCTCCTTACCACATTGAGCAGGTTCGTGGGCCTCCTCCGGGGCGCCACCACCCCGGCGCTCGGCCACGGGGTCGAGGGGCTGCGGGGCGTCTTGGCGTAGCAGGTGGGCGTGGCGGCGGCACGGGCGTTGCCGGGGGCGTCGCTGCACTCGCGGGCGGAGGAGGAGAGGTGGACGTACTTGGAGCCCCAGAAGAGGTAGCGGCGGTGGTGCCTCGCCAGGTGGTTGACGACGGTGAACTCGACCAGCGCCAGGAACACGAAGGCGGTGCAGGAGCCCATCCAGATGTCCAGCGCCTTCACGTACGACACTGGGGGGCGTGGGCGGGGTAAGGGGGCTATTAGGATCATTATTCAGTATTTTTTTCATTGTTTTGGTTCATTAAAAGTAAAAGAGAGAGATCGATTTGAGTAAACGAAGAGAGGAACTGCCAAGAACTGATAATGCTTTATGTAGAAAATATGGTTTTAGCAAATATTTACCACGCCCTGAATTCTAATGAGGATAAAATTATAGCTTTTTAAGAGATTTAAATGATCATATCCCTAAACCAAGATTTTTTTCAGGATTAAAATAACAGATCTTGAAATTCATCCTTTCAAAGTCTTTAAGGCGGGCTTATTGCATAACCTTGTCATTTATTTTGCATAGCAATTTATCAGGATTAAGATTACAGAACCTAAAATTCATCCTCTCTAAGTCCATATGGCGTTTTTATTATGTAACCATGTTATTTATTCTGCATAACACTTTGTCGTCTAATGTATGTATAACTTTATGTTGTGTGATTTATACCCTGGGGTTGTAGAAGGTAATGTATGTAATTTGATTATCTGAAACCCTGAAGCCAATAACTATAACTGTCTCTCTTATCTCCCCTCTCTGCTGGTTCCTTTTAGCGTGTGTGTGATGATTGCGCTTTCATATGTAACACTTTGTTGTAGTTTTCAATTCCTGCTTTCTCTCATTCCTTTCTATCTTTGAGTTTACACACATGTGGTCTCAATAGGCTGGCTTGTATTTTAATCATTCCCTGTCTCATAATATTTTATTCTACTAGTATTATAAAAAAAAAAAATCCCTTTCTTCGTTAATACTTACATCTTTTCATTCACAATTTTTGAACATTGACTAAACGTTTGCAGACATTTTCAAGAATATTTATCCACATGTGGAAACCGATATAAGACATTTGTAGCACTCCATCATAAAACTATTTTGTGCCATGCAGTCTGACACCATCCCTTATGGCAATATTGCGAACTGAGAAGCAAAGCATATTGATTCGTGAATTTTCTTTCCCCTTCGTTCTCAGAAGTTCCCTAAAGTCTGGCCCTTATGCCTCTCTTACCCAAGGACCAATATCACTTGTCACCACCCTGTCGCCTGGGCCCTCTGATCAGACCTCGAGAATTTCCGCCTCCGGGACCAAGAAGGAGGGGGGGGGTGGGGGAAGGGGGAGGGGGAGGCAAGGAGGGCGTTATTTCCTTCCCTTTCAAGCTATTCTTCTCAACATCCTTTTCACGTCTTTGTTCCTAATGCGGTTCGATCCATGTGGGAATCTATGGTAGGATTATGGGCTGCTTTGTTAAGGGGTAAAAACGTAGGTCTGAGCGGATGATGAGCATTAATCAGATTGAAGAGAGCAGCCAAACACACACACGCACACACACACACACACACACACACACACACACACACACTTCACACACACACACACACACACACACCACACACACACACACATACATATATGTATGTATTATGTAAGCATATGTGTATGCACGACCCATCGTTCCATGCAACACCCAGCTCCCTCTCCCTCACCCGTGGGCATCTTGTCCCTGAAGGAGGTGGACTCGGAGCAGACGGTGAGGAGCGTGGTCACCCCGAGGGTCACCCGGGAGGGAATGGCGTCCACGTCCAGCCAGAAGCTCACCCACGACACCACGACGATGAGCGACGTCGGGAGGTACGACTGCACCAGGTGGTAGCCCACGTTGCGCCGCAGCTCGAACACCGCCTGGAGACAGCTGTAGTTGCCTGCGGGGAGGGAGAAGGGGGGGAGGTTATATACTTCTCTTTCTTTTTTTCCTCTCTTTTTATTTTTTACTTTTTTTAATTCACGAGAGGAGTTAGTGGTACATGGCTTCGTCTTGAGGCAGTTGTAGTTATCTGCGATGGAGGGGAGAGGGCGTGAGATACGATGTTGATTACATTTATTTCCTCTTCCCTTTCTCTATTTTTTCTTCTTCGACGTTGGGGAATTAGACAGAGAGAGAATACGGAACTGAAGATAAGGGATTGCTTTTTTCTATGAACTATCTCCCACATATTAGTTAAGTTAGCAGCAAATGCATGAGAAAACAAAAATCATTTCTCCTGCACAGTAAGCTTAAGGGCAGTGGGTCAATCTTTAAAAAATATTGATCAATATCTAAAAAATAAAATAATATAAAGTAAATAAATGTGAACTACGCTTTTTCTTTTCTTGAGCTGAACTTTTCGAGGCATAGATACATTTCACAAGAGGTAATGGCAGGAAAGAGTGACAGATTAGTAATGACAAGTGTGAACTAGTTGACAAGGCGATGTTCTTGTGCCCAGGAATCATAAAACGAATAATCACTAACCTTCGAAGCAGTTTCGCCTCGTCAGAAAAGGGAGCATAATTCGCTGTGGAGAATAAAGTCCGAACGACCCACGTCTTGCGAGTAAAGTGGAAGATGAGAGAGTGACTTCCCTAATTAATGAAGTGGAGTTAGATCCGAAAGAATGTCCGGGCGTCGTCATTCATTCAACTCAGCGCTCCACTTGATTGAATTAATTCATTCTCTAATTAAAAGCGACTCGAATATTTTTCTCTCGTGCGGAATTTAAGATTTATGAATCCTTTTAGCATCGTTTCCATGTAAGCTGATGGCTTTTTATCTCGTCTTTGGGGGGAGGAAATCAGGAAGCAGATTTTGTAGCATACCTAATACCTAATATTTTATTCTTTTGTCGAAAACCCAGTAAATATTGGTCCGTGGTCTGCGTGCTGGTCAGTGGAACACGGATCATCTTATATCGGTATTACCTTGCCTTGGATTCCCATCGTGTCTTACATGCATGTCGGAATTTACTGTCTGCCAAGTTTGAATCTTACACCACACACACACACACACACACACACACACACACACACACACACACACACACACACACACACACACACACACACACACACACACACACACACACACACACACACACACACACACACACACACAGATGAAGATTATTATATTCTTGAATTAGAAAGACTGAGTCTCTGATCTTGATAAAGTAAAAACTGTAGCCAAATGAGGTAATCCAAACTGAATCAAATATTGAAGTTAGATAATTATCCCCACATACATTCAGTGGGAAAATCAGAGATTATGGGACAAAAAAAAAAAAAAAAAAAAAAAAAAAAGAAAAAAAATATATATGAGACTAAAATATCCTTTTTATGTAGATGTCCCCAATGCATTGAAATCATGCCTTATAGAAGAAGCTTTAGATTGTGCTGAAGGCGCTGGTGATGAATATAGAGTGATGTTTCAAAAACTTAATTCAAAATATGGGGAGAGCGCTTGGATGGAAACAAAAAAAGGTATTGGATATTATTTGGAATCTTTCCGAAGATGTTTTTCTATATGATATAAATAGTAATTTCTGCCCCAGAACCAGGAAAATTAACAGATTACCTAACTTAACGTCAGATGAACTATCCAATGACATGCTTCGTCAAATAGCCAGTCGGTATGACCCTCTTGACTCAGTATTACTTATAACTTTACAAGAAAAAATACTGATAAGAACCTTAATTCGCCACACAAAAAAATGTCGACAGGAATATTGCCTACTATTTGCTGTGACTTATTGGTATTTTTCGTTATTTGATATTAAAAGCAATCTTTTACAGGTTGAATGATGACCAATAAAGGTCATAAGCAGGGTTTGTGTCTCCTAGCAACACACACACACACACACATATATATATATCGTATGCGGATTTTCGTCGAAAACCTTTTTGCTGACCAACTATCGGTCGGATGGTCTCATCACTGAATCGGAATATCACTAGAAAGATGGGTAGATATAGATAGAAATATAGAAGGATAGAGGGATTGAAAGATAAGTAGACAGACATGGTTTGAGAGAGAGAGAGAGAGTAGAGAGAGAGAGAGAGAGAGAGAGAGAGAGAGAGAGAGAGAGAGAGAGAGAGAGAGAGAGAGAGAGAGAGAGAGAGAGAGAGAGAGAGAGAGAGAGAGAATAGAAAGAGAGAAAAAGCGAAAGAGAGAAACGGAGAGAGAGAGAGAGAAACAGATAAAGCAGACTGACAGACAAACAGACAGAACCAGAGACAGTCACGTGACCCAACCATCAAGAATCCCAGTCCTGTCATGCAAAGTCTGAACAATGACACCTTCCTCCTCCGGGCAACAAAGAAGTCATATCTTTGTCACACAAGAATGCGCTGGTGTTTCTGCCCCGTTGTTCCATCTTCGCCTGAACAGTTCCATAACGATTCGAAAGAACAGTATTGCAACTTTTCCTCGATGGTTATGGCCCGAGTAACATTGCTGTGCAGGTTTTAGTTTCTTTTTTTTTTTTTTTTTAATTTCATCATTATTATTATTTTTTTCTAGGGATTGTAGGGTAGGTTTAAACTAAAGCATGGTTATCGGAATGTATTCACACAAATGTGTGTCCATACATGTATACATATACATATCATACATATCTATATATATATCCATATGTATATATATCATAGACATACACACACACACACACACACACACACACACACACACACAACACACACACACACACACACACACACACACAAACACACACACACACACACACACACACACACACACACACACAAACACACACAACACAAGACAAGAGAGAGAGCCGAAGAACCGAAGTCCCCATCAACTCACCGATATGGAAGGACTGTCTGCAGGTCTCCGTCTTAATGTCCTTAATCTGGAACTGCGGCAACTTGAGGCGCTTGTACATCTTGATGGGGTTGTCGTCGTACCACACGAGCTCGAGCTCCCGGGTCGTCTTGACAACTGGGTATCGCGGAGGGGGGGGTAGAGAAGGGAGGAGGAGGGGGAGAGGGGAAGGAGGAGGGAGAGAGAGGGAAGGGAGGGGAGGGAAGGAGAGCGGAGGGAGAAGGAGAGGGAGAGGGGAGAGAGAGAGGGGAGGAAGAAGGAGGAGGGGAAAAGAGGGAGAGGGGAAGAGAGGGAGGAAAAGGGAGGAGGAGGGGAAGAGAGGGGAGGAGGAGGGAGGGGAGGCAGGGGGAAGGAGAGAAGAGGGAGGGGAAAAGAGGAGAGGGAAAGAGAGGGGAGGGGAGGGGAGGGAGGGGAAGGGAGGGGAGGGGAAGTTAGAGATTTGGATGAAAGGCATGAGAAGGCGAGAGAGGAGAGGTAAGAAGAGAGAGGGATTGGAGAGTGAGGGATGGAGAGATAGATAGAGAGAAAGAGAGAGATTGTTATCATCAATATCATTACTGTTATTATTACTATACCACTATCCTCATCACTATTATTATTATTACTGCCATTAGTATTATTAGAATTAGCATTACCATTATCATCATTATCATTGCTATTTCTACCATCATTATCATTAATTCATCGGAAATCAACATGATATTTTTTCCTTTATAGCAATAACTGTACCGAAGATTCAATAAATGAAGATGAAAATGCTTTTTTTATAATAACCAATATCATCATTATTTTGTTTTTTTTTTCTTTTACTTCTTTTTCCCGTTATCATAAAAATCACTAACAGGACGAGCAATAGCTGTAACGAAGATTAAAAAATAAATATAAAGATATGATTCTTTATAATAACCACTATCATCATCATTATTTTTTTACTTTTATAATAAGCGCTATCATAAAAATCACTAATAGTACGGGCAATATCTGTAACGAAGAAAAAAAAAGATAGTATTTTTTTTATAAATAACCACCATTATTATTTTTTTTTTTTTTTTTTTTTTTTTTTACTTTTCACCGCTATCATGAAAACGAATCATAAAGACAAATACCTATAACGCAGACCCAATAAACGAAGACACAAAAAAAAAAAAAAAAAAAAAAAAACAAACAGCGTGGCCCAATGCCCTCTCCAGAGACTCACAGCTGGCCACCTGAATGTAACACGTCTGGTGGTCGAGAGGGAAGCTTGACAGGTCCATCATGCAGGAGAAGGTCAGCTTGAGTCTGCGGGAAGAGGAAGAGGAAGTGTATGATCCATTCGCGTGGATATGAAAGGCGGGAAAGAAGGAAAGGAAGAAAGGAAGGAAGACAGAAAGGAATAAATAAATGGATCAAGAAAGAAAGGAAGAGAAGAAAGAAAGGAAGAAAGAAAGAAAGAAGAAAGGAAAGAGAAAAGAAGAAAGAAAGAGAGGGAGAAAGAAAGGAAAAATAAATAATAGAAGAAAGAAGAAAGAAAAAGAAAAAGAAAGGAAGAAATGAAGAAAGAAAGTATAAAGCTGAAAAAAATAAGACCCGTCTTAGATGGAAAT